CCCAACGCGCAAACAACGCACGTCGCAGGAGTCAGTGGGTTGGCATGCGTAACACGTGGCCGAACCATTGGTGCCTAGTGTGTGAAATGACGGTGCTGAAGGGTTCAGTTCCTTTTCCCCTGCAGTAAACAAGACATCGAACACGCTGGTTGATCACGCGGTGTTCCCACCAGATGTGACCTAAACTGCGAAGGAACCGGTGATCGAACGTAACTAACCTATTTATGTCGGTTGATCTAAGGTGCGAGGATTCGCAGCCGTACAGTAAGGTCGAACCAACCGCTGCATTGTACACTCTACCCTTCAGGGCGAGAGTGATGTCGCGCCGGCGCCATAAGTGGCGAAGGCTAGCACAAGCACCTAGAGCTTTTGCTACAGGGTTCGTGATCTCATTTTTGATCCCCAGGGCGCTGATAAAACTTCCCAGGTAGTTAAAATCTGAACGGTCCCCAAAAGGGGTCGGCGCAGGAAGCGATCCCTGCCAATCTTGAAGAAAAGCTTTGCACTTCGATGGTGCAAAACAAAGCCCGAAGCGTCTGACAGCCAGTGTCAATCTGGGCAATGCAGCTTGGCACGTCTGGGAACCGTCACAGAAGAGGGCAATATCGTCTGCATACTGCAAGTCAAGAAGTCGTTTACCAGAACTAGCTACACACCTTCTAAGTCCTGTCTTGTGAATGCAACCTCCATGCAGTCGTCAAGAGCGCATTTGAAGAGGAAAGGTGACAGCGAACGTCCTAGTCTCACACCGCGGGAAATACTGCAGGGCGGCGACAGCTTGCCGTAGGCCCTCACTCTATCGGTGATATACGCGTATAGTGCGTGCATAATATTTGCATACTTCTCGGGCACACCTTTCCTGATTAGACAACCTCAAAGGATAACTTGATCACTGAATCGTAGGCACCATTGCTATCGAAGAATGCGACTACGTTGGGCCTGCGATTTTATGACGATGTTACAACAACTGACGCAAAATGAAGATATGATCGATACAGCCACGATCCAGACGAAACCCAGCTTGCTGCTCACGAATATGGCTTTCACGAGCGCCAGTCAGTCTGTGAAGAATTACGGAGGCAAGTAATTTGGAGGCGATGGGGATCAAACTGTTTCCTTTATGGTTACCGCATTCCGAACGCAAGTCTCTTTTGAAGATCGGAACTAAAACGGAGCGGATCCAGTAGGTTGACACAATTTCTTGCTCCCACAATTACTATAGTAATTCGTGTAAATCATCAACAAGAGTAGGGCCCCCGAATTTGAAGAGGGCTGGATGAAGGTCGTCTGGTCCCGCTGCCTTGTTCAATTTCAACAGTCCAATCTCATATTAAACTTCTGAGCGAGAGGACGTATCCAAAGGGACAGCCGAGGGAACAGGGCGATCACTGGCCGATGAGGAATCTAACAATTCCGGCAGATTTAATAGCTTTCCAAAATGCTCAGCCAAACGTTCCAAACCTTTTGACAAGTTGTGGATAGTCTGTCCACTCTCGTCATAAATTGTTGCACTAACACCAAGTCTTCTGCTGCCCGGTCCCCTTATCAGACGGAATAACTTACGATGGTTACCAAGGGTAGCGACCATTTCCGTCTCTGAGGCACAATGAGACCAGCAGGATTTGCGGTCTTCATTCAGGCTAGCACGGTGTTTTGCCCGGAGCTCTTTGAGAGTTTAATTGTGTTCGCTTCCAGTCGGAATATGTCGGCGAGGATCGATAGGTTCTAGGGACCGCGAAGAGACCCAATGTCCACGTTGGCCATAGACTTACCACATGAGGATTCGCCTGCTGCTAGTAAGGTCTGGTGAACATGCAACCAGTGACCTTCAGTTGTTTCCAGTGAGCTTTTACTCTACCCTCGTGTCAACGTATTTTGATACGCATTCCGAACAGCTGGCTTCGTCAGTTGGCTAGTGTCGATGCACTCACAGCGTCGTCGTGGGCGCCCGCCAAAAGGTATCTGTGGGTCCGCACATACAAGTGCATGGTCGGTGTCTACACATGTGCTTCAAATCGAGCGACAGTTTTGGACGCAGCCTTTCCAGCGGTAACTGATTGCAGTGTGATCGATTTGCGTCTAAGGCTGGTTCGAGGCGGGTGCACCGCAAGTCGTCCTCCGACGCGTGCTGTGTCGGAAGTTAGTGCTCGCAAGAAATAAGCGAGCATCTTCCCACAAATGAAATAACCGCTCACCATTATCATTAAGGGAGCCTACACCGCACTGGCTGCCCAGACACAGTTCATCAATGAATAATTTTCCAACTTGAGCGTTCAGATCCCCGTCAGCACAATAGTGTCCGTACTTTTTCTGTGGTGAAGGAGCTCGTTCAGTTGGGGGTAGAAGTCGTCTTTTACCGAATCATCACTAGAGTTTGTGGGCGGGTAGGCAGCGATGATGAATCAACACCTATTATTCCTGCGCGACTTCGAAACTGAACGAGACAGCCAATCGGACCGCACACATCCGGCTACTGATTGGGATCCAATCAACCAGAGCAGCTTCAGCCCGGGGACTCAGGGCAATACCAACACCAGCCTGGCCGGTGTTCGAAGCTGCATCGTCAACGGATAGACGCAATGAGAAAATACTGCTTGGGTCACCTGAAGTGGATCGCAAAGTGAGCACAGAGCTCGAGTCTTGCAGGCGGGTCTCCGATAAGCGGCAGATATCGGTCGAGAGCGTCTCTAATGTTATGGCAAGTGTTGCCTGTTGACCGATCTGTAGCAATGTGCAGACATAGCGGCATGCCAACTTGTGGGAGGATCGAGGGCGCTAAACGGAAGACGATGAGCTGGGGTGGAACGCCTGATTGGACATGGGCTTGTCGACAGGACACGAGTGCCGTTCCGCGTTTGCATGTGAGTTAAAACTAGAAGAAAAAAGCCTAGCAAAGCATGTTGGGGGAGGGCCAAGGATCGGAAGGTTGAAACAGGGGGTATCAACGTAAAGTTGGAAAGGGACGATAAGGGTTTAAATCCGTATAAGGAGGTATAAGAAAACGGGAAGCCTTGAGCAGTAACATCCAAACACCTATCCATCCAGCAGCATATAGGGCGACGTTTATTATCTTCTACCACGGCCAGATCATCAATAAACTGTTAGAAGAGAAAGTCATTGTATTGCATGCGCAAGATACTGTCAGGTTGCCCAGGCCTAGACAGGAGAACGATTAGGGTTCTTAGCCCAAGCCTTTCGTTCAAAAACCTGACTGCAAGGCTAGGGGTTTGTAGGTGGGTTACAAGGAGTCAGTTTTAAGGAATAAGTTGCCATCCTCACTCAAAATCCCCAACCTGGAGGACCAGGAGGCTCCGTTTGTCTGGCCTCTAACCACTGGCCAATCTGGTATGAGTGACTCTGAAGGTGCAAAAGCACCACACAGCATAACTCAATGGATCGTTGCGGCACGCAAACCATTGCACCACGGTAAGGTCCAGCCTCATTGCGATGGGCAAGTGCACAGGATGCGGTAATGAAAAGTAAACACCAAAGTAGTTCACATGTAGGATTTACTTTGAAATGCCCGGTTTAGCGACGTTTCATAATCTTCTGTGCTCTGAAATTTGGGGTATGCCACTAAGTCGACGACGTGAAACTTTTGCTGCTTTATCGATAACAGGTCACACTTCCAGTACATTTTGATCCACATAACTGACTCTGCCTACCCCGGTTGGAGATGTGATCGCGCCCAACTGTACATCATCAGTGCGAAATCCTCATGCGGGATCAGCATCACTTAGTATGGTTGCATGGACATGCAAAGGAGGAGCTCGTGTTTAATCGGGAACAGATGAGCTCCTAAAGCAAACAAACAAATATCACACGCTTAAATCTAACTTCAGTAGTAAATCATCGTCAAACTTATAACGTGGCCTGAATTGCTGCACCGCGTTGATGCGGCCATTCACGCCATGGCGTTTAATAATGAGTATATGTGAAATCAAACATAACATCTTACTAAAACTACTCTCAGATAAGTTCTGTGTAAGTCTGTGAAGTAAACTGAACTAATTGAAAGATGGCCAAAAGTAAGGATGTATTAACTAACGGTAGACTACTGGATGCAGTCATGGTGTCTACTTATACAGATGCATGCACAGACTCAACTGCAATGGACCGGGTCACCAAATACGGTACAAGGGTTTGAGGTGATTGTTTACATCTGAATGACACGGTGATGCTTTCCATCAACTTTACTGCTGGCTCATTCGACTGTGTCCTAAGATCTTCCTCCGGTAAACAGTGATGAAATTAAACGGTATTTTGGCGGTATGCGAATAACATATGAAGTCCACACGGATTGTGCAGAATTGGTTGATTAGATCCCGCAGACATTTCAGTTTCGGTGACAACTTGTTTGAGTCCTGGTGTCTACGTTTGTCCATGAACGGAAGCAACGATTGCTGAGGGCCGGGTGCAGAAGTTCTACGTCCCACCTGCCTCGTAAGTATTTAGCCAACATTATATCGCATCCCTCAGTGATATCGAAAGGTCGATAATACATGTAACGATACTCCAGGCGATAGCATTCACATGAGTTTCGCAGTTTTCAGTGGTGTGCCGCGAAATCTTCACTCAGATATTTTCAAACTGCGCAAAGCTGTTAGCTGATGGATTTTACCACTTTAGATAACTTGTAGCTCCGACAAGGGAATGAACCGAACTGACTTTTTAGCATATGTGAGGTTGTTCACGGCCATTTTCGAGGGTCATTGAGCGTGAGGATCTCATGCAACCTCTGTGTCTTCACGAGCCACCTCCGACTCCTAAACGTTCATTTTTTCTATGTTTTTGTAATAGCGCGGTACTTACAAATTAATTAGTATGGTGGAAAATTACTGTCCAGAACAGTGGTAGCTCGCTGAAACGTCCCTCAAAACAATTGTGTGCAAGTCACTGTAGTGTATAGAAATCTCACAGTCGCCAACCACTATGGCAACTAACACTGGTGGCTAGGTTGCACTTAATCGTAGTAGTAAGCTCAAAAACGTGAAACTCACCCTCAGAAATACTCTCTGTCTTTTACACTCAGGAGCTAATGCTCCCTGTGGAATCTGCAAGCGCACTTTGTATTCAGGGAGTTCCAAGGCACCACCTTCGTAACCAAATTCCCCAGCGCATTCGGCTAAAATTGTTTTCGAAATTGAAAAAGCGGCGGAGGAAACAACAGAACGTGCACCAGTCATCGTGCCATCTGAACGGGCTGTGCAGATTTTCTGGACTGACTCAACACGAGAGGGAAAAACTGGTTCGCCTCGTCTTGTTAACCCTGCAGATTTCGGGAGCTTCACTGAGTCCAAACCATCGTGCTCTTCTGTTTGCTGAGTGCAGAAGGAATCCTCGATGATGTCGGCCCCACTAAAGCGACATAGAGCGGCATGCAAAATTATATATGCACTTAACTTGGTTATTGTGCTCAAATTCACCTAGTTTAATTGTTACATCAGTTTGATCTTCCGAAAACGATCATAGTTGAAATGTACTCTTGTGGTCTGTTCACGGAGATTAAGGACCTCTCCTTTTGTTATACTGCTTCGAGTACGATACTATTGCTGACGGTCTGGTACGCTTGACGCCCAATCCAACCGTGAAACTGAAAACCAAGGCTCGGTAGCAAGGGTAAGTACATTGAGGAAGGTTCAATTTATAGATAAAGAACACAGACTAATTCTAGAAAATGTGATCTCTCCATCTTTTGCGTCCCAGCCACAACAAATGTGAATGCGTTCCACTCCACTGATTTACTGCATTTGGCCGTTTGTTCGTGTCAAGACACGGTCCTTGTTTACTACATCGATGCTCGGGTGACTTTGTCAGCCACTCATATCTAGCCTTTGTTCTACAGCTGGTCGTTCCTTGATGCCTCCGGCCTGAAGCCCGTTAAATTTATCCACACAGCCTAGTGTCGTAACGTTGTGTGGTGGCACTTGCTCCGTTTAGCCACCTATTAGTATCCGTTGCCGTTTCCACCAGAATGCGTTCCCAGAACTTCAAGGACTAGTAGGCAGTGGCACAAGTAATGTGCATTATTTGTGGGCACATGGTTAGGAAAGCTGAGAAATCTCACAATGGCTTCATCCCCAGCTACATTATAAGGAACCAATAGATAACTTTGAAGAACCGCTATGTGTCGTGCCATGAGCTGCGGTCACAATATTATACCCACTTATTAGATGTACATTTTTACGTTTGAATTTTACCGGGCACTCGATTGCCGATCTTCATTCAAACGGACTGGACGTGCTCTCCCAAATGAAATTGCATTTTCCGATAAATTTTCTGCAGATTAGCATATTGTGGTAGCTAATTTACCTGGTGTGATCCCAACAACATGTCACACGTACAACCCTGTTATCGTTGGGTCATATAAAACGAATTTAGTCTTCGAAGAAAGGTAAGTTCAATGTTTACTCAAGCAGCCCGTGTTCAAACCAGCCGGTTGCTGCGTAGACAAGCTACTACTGAAAGTTTCGCATCCCGCTTATGCCCATCTTAGAGTGTACCGCCAGCCAGACTCGATCGATTACGCTTACTCCAATATGCGAAATAAACCTAGATCTTTACCATTCGCATGAAGCTGGTGACGGTATGCTTTGTCTACCTGATTCCAATATTCTTACCTGGACGGAAATCGATCTAATCTCTGGGTCACTACCTGCTCAATATTTGCTTCTGTATCACCCAGCTCAAAAACCGTCTTGTTTGTAGTTACTCCTTGATTCAGTTACGCTCGACTAAAAACCTTGCGCCTTACCCACCTGAAAATCTTGAGAAGATAATCATCTGATAACAGTTGTAAACACAAGGTTTATGGAAAAGAAAAGTTCCACTAGCCAGGCTATCGCAATACATAGTACCACAATGGTTACAAGAAACACTTATAACTCCCTTCCCTTCGACACACTTGGAAGTTCTGAATGCCCTGTATAATGCGATTGAGAGTCTCGAAAGACTTGAGAGAAATACTGGATGTTGCTGGCCCATGTTTCCTATAATGAAATCGCTTTCTACTTAAATAACTGCTCGTCCTATAAACCATTCGACCAACTGCGTCTCGCTGCTGACTTTATTTCCTTGATTTACCCAGAAGTGTGATAATGGATCATCCGTAATAGTAGTAGTGTGTCACATGATCGGTGAGCTCATACCCGA